TGTGGTCTTTGTACACAGTCTTGTTGTAGTTAAGCCTTGATTGTTGTAGTTATCACTGGGAGGAATTGACCTCCAGGCCATTTGGCTGTGAGAATCAGCTGTGTCTTCAGTGGCAGAACTTCTGTGCTTTAGACATCCCTCTGGGGCAAGACTTGCTTCAGTGGGGCTTTGGTGCGCACTGAGTCTGCCCCCTGAGTGTGTCCTTTATGGTTCCATGTAGCTAACTGGATGGTTCCACTCTGACCTCGGTTTCCTGGCTCCTGGATCTCTAGGGAGATGCTAATCTAGCCTTTGCCTGAGGCTATCCAGCAAAAGCTTCCCTGCAGGGCTTGGGTGGGGCGGGTCCCACGGGATCAACAGGGCGGGGTTAGCTGTTATGGCTGCTCTCAGTCCAGCCCTCAGAGGCTCTGCTTCTCAGTGTCCTGGTAATTGCTGAATGCCCCTCGGAGCGAAAGCTGCCCTCGAGTTCCGACTGATGCCAGGCAGTCCCGCTTCTCCAATATGAGTCTGGGTCCCTAGAGACTCGCCCAGAACTGGAGCTCAGAGCCTGAGACTCCCTCCCAATTGAAAACGACAACCGCGCCCTCAGCCGCCAGCCCACTCCACATACACCTCCGCACCTTAGTATTTTACTTCCTTACTGCGCCTCCTCTGAGTCTCGGTATGCTTTTCTCTTTCCTTCTAGTTGTAGAATTTCCACTCAGCCAGCCTTCCTGTGGTTCTGGATGATGTCCATTCCGTCTTTTAGTTGTATTTTTGAAGTGGTTGTTTGAGGCAGCAAACTCCGGTGTTTACCTATGCCACCATCTTGGTTTCTCAGAAACACTTTTTGATGTATGTGAATTAGGAACTCAGTGTTTGCACACATCAGATTTTGTCTACATTAATGAAGGTAATATCAGAAAGTAATATTTTAGGAAATCATTTTCTAGAATATTCTGTAGTCTACACTAGAAGCCTGGTGCATGAAATACGTGCATGAGTACGATCCCTAGGCCTGGCCTCCTGCCTCCCCACCTCCTTCTTCCCTCCCTTCATTAGCGCCCCACCGCCACCTCTGCTCTCCAGCCTTGTTCTGGACTGGCCACTCGTGGTCAGCGCACATCATAGGGATTGATGGAACTCCTGCTCTCCCAGTTGTACTCCCGAGAGGACAATTTGTATATTAGCCTCTTATATATATACTAGAGGGCCAGTGCACAAAAATTTGTGCACTCGGGGGGATGGGGGGGGTCCCTCAGCCGGGCCTGTGCCCTCTCACAGTCTGGGACTCCTGAAGGGATGATCACCTGCTGGCTTAGGCCCGCACCTAGGGAATTGGGCCTATGATGGCAATCAGACATCCCTCTGGCAGCCCGGCAGCCCTCAGGAGATGTCCACTTGCCAGCAGGGAGCAGGCCTAAACTGCAGTCGGACATCCTTAGCGCTACGGAGGAGGCAGGAGAGGCTCCCACCACCACTGTACTGGCAGCCACCAGCCTGGCTTGTGGCTGAGCAGAGCTCCTCCCATGTGAGAATGCCCTGACCACCAGAGGGCAGCTTCTGCTTTGAGCGTCTGCCCCCTGGTGGTCAGTGTG